CTGCTTCCCCTCCCCCCCCCCCCCTTTTTTTTTTTCCTTTGGAGGTGCCTGATGCTGCTTTTCCTCTTGTGCTGTTGAGCTCCAGAAACAATCCTGCAGAGCCATTGCTTGGCTTTGACTCCAAAGATTCTTCTTCCTTCTCCACCCTACCCTTTCTGGTTTCTCTGCCATCTTCTCTCCACAGTCATCTGTACCAAACCAGCTTCTTTCCTCTCCTTATCTGTTGTTATTCAGATAATACAAACATCACCTTGCACTCCTTTCTTCCCTCTCAACTTTGACATTACCTTCCCCTATCCCATCATGAGCCAAGTAAAAATTTCCTTCAGCAGCCTGTTTCTTTTCCAGTTATTGGAAGCTAAGGCTCCCCTGTTGTACTTTTTAGCCTGCCAGTTGAGATTGGCTTAACACTTTTCTTTCTTCATTGTTACTTGATCAAAAGTCTCAGTGAGTGATGGGAAGAAAATAAAAAGCATTTGAAATGTCTTTTATAAACCCGACTGCTTTCCAAGTCTTGCAGTTCAAAATTAAAAGCAATCGGAAAAAAACCCACAACTTCTAGAAAGACCTTAAAAATCAAGACACAACAGTTTTTAGAAATTTAGTTTAGTGTGTAGTTAAGAGTTTTCAAAGGACAATGATGGAAAAGCCTAAGGCTCATGTAAGCCCAAGGCATGATAGAGAAAATGCAAAGAGAAGTTTCACTTGGCCAAGCAGAAACCTGGAAGTGCTGTATCCCTTAATGTTGAAGAGTTTAGTGTTCATTAGATAAAATTGAGTATTTGTTGCTGATGAGTGAATGTTGCTGACCTAATTCCCATCAGCTCACAAAACCCAGTTCCATAGCAGCCCAGTTACCCTTCCTGTGTCACAAGATAGTGGGATGCAAGGAGTTAATGGGACACAGTTAATAGATTTATGACCAACACGAACAAGGAAAAAAACAATAGAGAAAATCTGTGAGCAAAAATCTCCACGTTTCTGACACTGAATGAATGTGAAAAAAATTTTGCTCATTAGAATGTATATATTACATCATATTTCTATGTACATTTATTCTTCATGGTGTGTCATTCCAAAATCACTGAATAAACTCTGGCTTGCATGTTGCTAGTAAGTTTATATGTGTGTATATATATACACATAAGAAAACAATAGTCACTAATGAGATTATATACTAGCTGTTTATTTTGTGTATATGAACTTGATAAAAGAGCAAAAACTATGAAGATTATGAGATTTAATGGCCTTCAGAACAAGGCATTAACACTATTCTTCCAGACTGCTTGAATGTTTCATGTTCCCTGTCTGTAGCTGAAAGAATACCTGCCTTCCATGGTACTGGGACTAATGCTTATCTTGATAAACCCCACTAATCTTCCTTGGAACCTTCTACTGGTCTTGGTCAAATTGTTCTAATTGACACAGATTAATCAGAAATTAGAGATTTTGTGTATTAGTGCCTGTCTCAATGAAACAGTGTCACCTCCAGTACTCAGCAGAAAGAGCACTAGAGAACATCACAACTATATAATGAATGTCAGGCTGCTACCTGATAAGGTTTTGTACAGTGAAATGTTAAATAAAGCATCATTATCCAGCCACTATGTTATAGATCCTCATGGCTATGATTTCTCTCAATGCCAGTATCTTCTAACATTATTCTGCTATTTCCATCAACAGAAAACCTTCTCTGAACTAAATGGTATTTTCAGCAGGTCAAAGAAATAGGCAATGCCCAAGAATGGCCCTTTGGTTAAACCAGCTTATTTAACACTGGTAAATTATTGCAGTTAGAATAGTTGAAGTGAGGTCCCCACTCTTTTAAGTGATCTTGCACTAATTTTAATAAGATACTTTCAAAATTAACTGGTACAGAATAGTCATGGCCTAGACAGCTTGTCTGCAAACATTACATTTGTCAAAACCCAGAGCTTTGATTTCTAAATTGAGTTGTCTTAGCTCATCCAAGGTGTGTCCAGCTCAGTGATTTTAAGCAGCTTCTGATGCTTGAGGAACTCCATGGGCAGCTTCACCATGTGTGCAGGGAGTATGTGTGTGTGTCAGTCAGAACCCTCACCCTTCAAAATGCAGGTCTCCATTTGGTTGCCCCAGTGGATGATGCTCATGGTGCTGAGTCATATGGCAGGATAACAGAAGAGGTTCTAGTGCAACAGCCACCAGCCTGGTGCAAGGGAGGGATATTCCTAGCAGTCCTCCTCTGAGCAGGGACCAGAGCTGTAAACTCCTCTCCTGCTCCCCACTGTTGCAGTTTGTCCCCTCTCTAGCAACTCTGCAGCTGATCTGGGGGTGAACACAGGTAGCCAATATCTGTGGTGTGAGAGCCACAGGAGAGATGGGATGGTCTACTGTAGGTCTTACCTGCAGGCATGCTGGCTGAGGAGCATGAAGAGAGGGGACCTTGCCAGAAACCTCATTCATTAGCTGTGAGATTAGACAAATCCCTTAAATGTTACCATACAGCTTTAATAAAGGTAAACAGGGTGTTGGCAGTAGGGTTATGTACTTAGACAATGAAAGAAAAGAAGCAATTGTGCCCTTATTTATTCAAGTTAATCCTGCAATAAGATGAATAAGATGCTGGAGAGCAGAGGCCAACCACATTATAAGAAATTAAAAGCAAGTGAATTTATTTAAGTTTCCTGGGGCAGCCAAGTAAATACTACAGCAGAATGCTTGTTAACATTGAGTGAGTTGGAAAAACTCAGAATAAAGTTGTTTATTTTAACAAAAGGATTGTATGCTGTCTGGAAATGCATAACACAGAAAAATCCACTATTAAAGAAACTGGATCTACATCTTTTTCCTTCTTTACATCTGAAGGGTCACAAATCAGGCAATTTGCATGAAACATGGCAAGAAACTAAATGCAACTTGCCATATCAGTTTCAGAGGACTCTGGCTTTGGAGTGAAGGGTTGGGGACAGAAATTAGGCATGTAATAATGTAGGACTAAAATGACCACACATTAGAAGAGAATCGTTTTACCATAACACCTACATTTCTAACTTCTTGTTTAATCCCGATGTGAATAACAAATCTTTGTCATTGAGGTTCCAAACCTGTAAATAACCACCCTGTCTGTCTACATAACATCCAGCTCAAGAGGTTTTCTGCAGCCTTTTCACTCTGCTAACTTGGTTTCCAATGGAGAAGAGAGAGGGGTGGGTATGCTTGGGCTGAGGCAAATGTCTAGGGACACACGGGGACGTGAAAACAAATGGTCCTGGCAAGATCTGGAGCATGATCCTGGGTCTGTGGACCCGGGACTGAGCAGGTTGCTGGCAGCTCCCGTGGCCACCGCTCCTCGCAGGGCTCTTCTGAGCAAGGCTGGCGCGGTGCGGGAGCCGCGCTCTGCTCCGGCCTACCCTGGGAAAGATGCTGCGGCACAACCGCACACAGGCACTGCCAAGGTGCAGATTTGGCTGGAGTGCGCTTGTTACATTAACCTTGTAGCTGTGACAGATGAGTAAAATGCATCGGATACTTTTGGATAAGAAAGTATCCAATTTACTAAAGCGATGACAGTGAAAAAATACCGACCTTTGCCTTTTCCATATTTGCTTAACCTTTATTGTTATCTTGATTTGCAAGTCTGATGTAAGTAAATCATAACCTTATCATGCTACAAGATGCCTCTTACTATGGATGGGCTGCAGGTATTTTTAAACAGCTCAGTACAGGATGGGCAGATGTTTGACACCATCATGAGTGTTCAATCTCCACTAGCTGGTAAACCCCTGAACTAAGAGCCTTGGATCACTTTAACTTTGAGGCTATTTTGTATGAATGCGAACATAATTCACATACAAGAGCTTTTTCTTTATTGGCTATCTTTCCCATTCTATAAAATAAGGTGAGAAAAGAAGCAGAACAGCAGGACCACAGTATTAACTACAGGATAGTAAGCCTGAAAGCCCAGCAAAATGTAGGCCTTGTTCAGCCTGTAACACGTTCCTTGGTGACTTCCAGCTGAACTAGGTCTGTGTCTCTGCTTTTGTGCTTTTCAGAAAAATATTCCCTTGGTATACCTCAGCAACATGCTACATAACTTAAGTGCTCCATACTTTCAAATGCTGTCAGAAGTCTGTAAGGTGGTGCTGTGTAATTCAGAAGAAAGCAGAAGATCATCATTTTGTGTAGCAACTTCCAGGCAGACAGATTCCCAGGAGCAATCCAATTTCTTAATGAATATAGAAAACTTGAAAAGGGTGAGAACATAACTCTGAGAAACATGGACAATAACAGTGAGTTTCTTCTCAGAAGGAGGGACTTGGCTTTTGAGAAAGCTGGGGACATGGCTGGAGGCCCCATCCTGCCAGCAGACCTCACCTGCCCATCTCTGACAGAGTCTGAGGCCTGAGAGTGAACAACCCTCACTATCAGAAGCAAAACAACTTGAACTGCAAGGTTCTTAGCATATCATTAAAAATTCAAACCCTGGCCTATTCTGATGGAAAATCTTCCAGAGGAATGTGATTTGTTTTGGGCAAAATAACCGGGCTTGTTTCCTGGCAGGGATACTATTTGCATCAAAAATTAATGCCATCCACCCACTCAGTTTCCAACTAAAAACCAGGCATTTCATTAGTGAAGTGAGAACAGTGATGCCTGGCTGGAGCAGCCAGGGCAAACAAATCTGCTGAGTGTGGCCAGAAAAATGAGAGAGCTGCGTGCTTCTGTGGGCATGAGGGTCCTGACAACCACACAGGGCTAGGTGAGAAAGGAGTGAGGGCATGGTGTTCCTGCTCATGAAAGGGGACAGGTGAAAAACCAGCCCCGTCTGGAGGTTAAGCTCCTCTTTCCCAGCAGGGAGGCCTTGGAAACTGTGTCTAGGGTCCTCACTGTGGCTGTGCACATGCGTGTGCAAGAGCCATACTGGTTGGTAGCATGAGCTGAGAATTGTGAGGGGACAAGCTGTGCATGGGGAGCACTGCGGGTGTGCGAGGGAAGAGGTCGGTGTGAGCCAGACGCCAGGAATGGCGTCACGCTTGCCCACAGCTGCCAGCGCCAAGGTGCGTGTGGGGCCACGCGCCAGAGGAGAGCTGTGCGGAGGGAACTGCATGTGTGTGTGCAGAGGCGTGCGGGAGGAGGTGTGTGGGCAGGGTGGGCTGCCTGTGAGGAGTGTGTGCCCAAACAACAGGTGTGTGTGGAGAGAGGTGTGTGAGAGGGGATGTGTCTGTGTGGAGGGTGAGGTGTGTGCAGAGGGAGGTGTATGTGCTGTGTGTGGTGAGCTGTGTGGGGAGCTGTGCGTGGAGACCTGTGCGTGCAGACCCATGTGTGCAGACACGTATGTGCACACCTGTGTGTTGCAGACCGGTGTGTGCAGACCGGTGGGTGCAGACCCCTGCGCGCAGGCCCCTGTGTGCAGACCCGTGTGCACAGACCGGTGTGTGCACACCTGTGTGTTGCAGACCCGTGGGTGCAGACCCGTGGGTGCAGGCCGGTGTGTGCAGACCGGTGTGTGCAGGCCCCTGTGTGCAGACCCGTGGGTGTAGACCGGTGTGTGCAGACCCGTGGGTGCAGACCTGTGGGTGCAGACCGGTGTGTGCACACCTGTGTGTTGCAGACCCGTGGGTGCAG